CAGAAGCGCGACTCCGGTGAAACGGGTCGGGTCTCAGACCAGAACTCGCTAGTCTGAACTCACTTTTTGGCCGGTGCCGTCTTCTGGAGGTTCCACAGCTTTAGGGTGTAATCCTCAGATGCCGTCACCAGAACCGGATCCACCGGGTGGAAGGCCAGACTCCGCACCGAGTCAAAGTGGCTCCTCAGGGTGAACTTTGGGTTCCAGGTCTTCCTCAGAGCGTCTGTGTTGCTGGAGATCTGGATAAAAGGAAAACCGGAGTGACACCGGTTCTGGGTCTGAGAGCCGTGTAGATTTATGTATTTGACTGTTATTGTTATTAAAAGAGTCGTCGCATTCTTGTTTATTTTCTGATTTACTTGAAATTCAGATTCTGGAATAAAACACAAGTAGATTTCTGCGTTTCAGATTTAGCCGATCCCACTGGCCATCATCGCTCGATTCTGACTAGGGATGAGCGAGTACACCACTACCTGTATCTGTACTCGGAGTGGGCGTGGCCTAACCCGGAAGTAGGTGTAGTTTAACCGGAAGTGGGTGTGGTTTACATCAATAGTTATTTTAAGTCTGATCAGAAGTTGCTATGACTATTTACAGAGCAGCCTCGGAGTTGAGATGAAATGTTTTTGATCACAATAGTAAAGGAACTATTACAGAACAAGCGTTTCAATAAAATCAGAACATTAATATTTAAGTGCATGAATTAAGAGAGAGAGAGAGAGAGAGAGAGAGAGAGAGAGAGAGAGAGAGAGAGAGAGAGAGAGAGAGAGAGAGAGAGAGAGAGAGAGAGAGAGAGAGAGAGAGAGATCATTTCTATAGCTCCTCTCAAGATAAAAATCACGGGGCGCTTCACAAAAACAAAACATGTAAAATAGAAAGAAGAATTTAGAAAATGATTAAAATATATTTTAAATGAGCAAAAAATAGACAGTTGTGATTAAAAAATGTAAAGAAAGAGAGAGTGAATAGGAAAGAGGGAGTGGATCCTGAGGAAGAGGAGAGAGAGAGGAAAAAAAAAACGACTGGAGCGGAGGCAGTGACTGACGCAGCACGAGCCGTTTTCAGCTCTGTCTTGTCAAATGCACCACGTACGTTACGTAAAAAGTTACTTTAAATAACTTTAAAAAGAAGCGAGCTGAAGAAAACATAGGGAGTACAGAAGAAACGTGAACAGTGAAGCAAACACAGAGAGATCCGTTACTGTGTGTGTGTGTGTGTGTGTGCGTGCGTGCGTGTGTGTGTGTGTGTGTGTGTGTGTGTGCGCGTGCGTGCGTGTGTGTGTGCGTGTGTGTGCGTGCGTGTGTGTGCATGGATGGACCGGAAGCGGACTGAGCTGTGAGCTCCCGGCTGCAGAGTTTTGTATGTAGGGAGGGGGCGGGCACTCTATGTGACTGGCCAATCACAGAGCGTGCAGACAGTCAGTTACCCAATGAGGACTTTCCTTCAGCACGATTACAGATATTTACGAGTTTTACTCGTTTCATGCTCGTACTCGTCAAAAATGCTTTATCCGTACCGGATCCTCGTCTGAAACGAGGATCCGGCTCATCCCTAATTCTGACACCCCGATCATTTTCTTTGGGCCTCTCTGAATAAACCACCAATGAACCGGAATACTTGGGTATTCCTGGATCTGATCGGAGCACTTGGTCCAGTAAAACCTTCTGATTCTGGTCCAGTTTGATCGACTCACATCGTACGCTAGACTTTCTGCCTCGTTGGCAACAGTCAGTCCGGCCAGTTCTCCCAGTCCAAGCTCGATGGAGACGGCCTCGTCCACTCGACCCAGTATAAACGACTTCCCGGAGGACGGCAGGAACGTCATTGGTTCTGAGGGAAGGAAACAGGCGCAAAAGTCTGAACCTCGACTCTGACTGATTCATGGACTGAAAGCAGGTCCAGATTACCGTCTTCAGGTCGTCCCACTTCCTGTTCGTTGAGCCTAGGTCCAACGGACCGGGAGGGAGGAGACACGGCTGGCTGCAGGGACGGGAGATCCTCGTTGTCTCGCAGGTTGGCCAACATGTCCTGGAGTTTGGACCGGTTTGGCCCTGGAGGACAAACATCAGAGCAACAACGATCACAGGTGCAGGGTTTGAATGACAGCATAAGAACCGTAACTCCAAAAGAGGAGAAGAAGAAAACAAAAAACAGAGTTAATTTAAACCTCAGAACGACTCGTCAGATTTTAACTGAAAGGAAAAAAAAAGATTTTACATCTGTTTCTCTGCAGGGTCTGACCTGACCGGATCTCTGACCTGACCGGATCTCTGACCTGACCGGATCTCTGACCTGACTGGATCTCTGACCTGACCGGATCTCTGACCTGACCGGATCTCTGACCTGACCTGACCGGATCTCTGACCTGACCGGATCTCTGACCTGACCGGATCTCTGATCTGACCTGACCGGATCTCTGACCTGACCGGATCTCTGATCTGACCGGATCTCTGACCTGACCGGATCTCTGACCTGACCGGATCTCTGATCTGACCTGACC